AGTGTCTTGTTCTTCACGTTGCTGATCACTTGATTCAGGCCTGTTTCTGTTTATTTATTTGACCATCATCCTGCAAACAAACTCAGAGGCTCCATGATCTAGTCCATAATTTGTTGAGAGTAACTCAGAGTAGTTCAACCCACAGCAAAATGAAGTTTCATTGATGCTGCAATTGTCAGGGTAGGACATAAGACCAGATGGACACAGAGATGAGGAGAGAGCTTTATAAGCTGGGCATAATTTCTGATGTTAAACTCAAAATTATCCAAATCCTCTGGTTCAATGAGTTTGTCAACAATGCAGAGCAGCAGAAGAGCTGAAGTGGGAAAAGTGGCTTTAATCTTGCAGTGTAATGTCATGGATGTTGCAGGGTTATGGAAGGTCTCAGCAGCTTCTTGGGAGCTTAGTCTGGGATGGATCCTGATAAAACAACACTCCTCCATTTTCAGGAGAACAAATACAGATCCCAGTTTAGCTATAACTCCTATCTCTAAAAAATCCCTGCATCTTTGTCTGTAGGAGCTGGTGTGAGGGAACAGAGTGCTGCCCAGAGCAGTGATGACACAGCCCCTGCATTGCCAAAGCCCACGAGGTCACAGTCACAACGCAGGAAATGTAAAAGGACTTTAAAGCCCATTTTATTCTATCATAGCCTGCCACGAGGAGGGACACCTTCTATTAGACTAGGCTGCTCCAAGCTCTGTCAAACCTGATCTTGAATATTCCCAGGGATAGGGCAGCCACAGATTCTCTGGGCAACCTGTGCCAGGGCCTCATCACCCTCAAAACCAAAATTTTTTCCTAATATCCAATCTAAAACTTCTCTATGTCAGTGTGATGCCATTCCCCCTTGTCCTGTCACGCCAGGCTCCTGTAAATAATCTCTTTCCATCTTTCTTTTGGGCTCCCTTCAGATACTGGGAGGTCACAGTTAGGTCACCCCAAAGATTTTCTTCTCCAGGCTGAACAATCCCAATTCTCTCAGCCTTTCCTCACAGGAGAGCTGCTCCATCCCTCTGATCATCTTGGTGGCCTCCTCTGGATTTGTTCCAACAGGTCTGTGTCCCTCCTGTGCTGGAGCCCCCAAAGACCCGAAGTTTTTCACCAATTCCCTAATGTACAATAGCTACAAAAGAAACGTCCTGCATCTGCCTGCAGCGAGCTGTAAGTGCTTTCACAAACGCTGAGTCAGGAACAACGTGCTGTAACTACAGGAGAAACGAGTTTTATCTGTGTGTAGGGAGGGCATGACTTAGAGAACACACTGAATTGCACAAAATTCCCTGGAAAAAAAAAGTTTTACGATTGTCTGTTTACATTTTGACTTCTCCTGTAGCATAAGTAACATTGTTGCAGAGTTAATGACCACGGCAATTAAGAAAATTCGCATTGTCCCTTGACTTTGTTCTCTCATGCTCTTTTCTGCAAGGCCATCAACCCTCGCCCTGCCAGGGCTGCTGAAATTACAAACAGCAGTGGGTGTCAACCACAAAGGGGAAAAAAAAGCACTGAACATATTGCAACACTGCATTTGGCACAAGATAAGGACAGAGGTGCCAAGCCTTTTTATTTTCACAGAATAAAGTCAGAAATAAACAGGTGCAATCTCCTAACCAGAGGCAAATCCACTCCAGATAGTCTCATGATCTCTTTCAATGTGCAAGGATGTTTTATAGACAAAACCAGCTCAGATTAGAATTGGGAAGCAAACATAAGCAGTCCAAACAGTATTCCAGCAGAAAAAGATGCCAAGAAAGAAGGAAGAGTGGGAAAACCTTAAAAACCACACAACAAGACTCTCTTCAGCTGGAAGGCCAAGGTGGAAGGAAGCTCTTCTAAGGCACCCATTTTACTTGATGGGGAAGCAGGTTCTGGCTTAATTTATCAAGACAAAACCAGTTTTCCCTAGAGCTAATCAAGTGTGTGGGGATGAAAAGGTTCTCTTTATTTTATATTATGTCACACAGGAGCTTTCAGACCAGCAGCTGAGGTTTAATTTGTGACCTGGCAATATCCAGTACCAATGTACAAGCCCAAGTAGTTGCTGCACTGGGTCATCCCTTCCCTTGGCACCAATCCCTCTACTGCACTTTGCAGGAATACCAGCATCAGCCACATGAGAAAAAGGAAGAAAGAAAGAAGGTTAAAACTATCCAGCTAAATCGAGAAGTTGCTCAACTCCAAAAAAAAATCGCACCGCATAAGGCTAAGAAAATAATTTAATGCACTAAAGTCACTAAAATAGCTGTGCCTCCCAAATGAAGGCACGTTGGGTACATACCAGTGTGGCTCTCACTGGTCCGTACTGGGAGCAGCGAGCTCCGAATGCCATCTGCAGGCAGGGGCACAAAGGCCGGGCTTTGCTGCTCTCGCTCATTGTGAGAAAGCCGAGAGCAGTTAAACAACGCTCTGCTACAGGAAATTCAACTGCTGGGGCAGGGAGAGCCGCTGACACCCCGGGACAGAGGCAGTTCTCGAATTAAGGAGAGATTAAATGGTGCGGAACGACGCGACAGCTCTGAGAGCCTGGGGAGGGACAGGGCACATTTCCTGCTGCAGGGATCTCGAGGAAATTGCCAACACAACTATGAAACCCCATTGAGCTGAAAACACAGATTAGACGCTTCACTGTGATTTGAAACATGCAAATTGTCTTTTAAATGTCTTTTGTATTAGGTACTTACCTATAAACATGGTGGCAAACCAAGACATTTACATTTTAACCACATTAAGCAGAAAGCAAAGTTCAGTGAGATAATGATTTAGCAGTTGGTCTAAGAACAAAACTTGTGGGAAAAAAATTACTCATAGGATCACAGACTAGTTTGTGCTGGAAGAGATTATTACAGCCCATCTCATTCTAAATGGGACAACTTCCACTGTCCCAGGGTGCTCCAAACCCTGCCCAGCCTGGCCTCGGGCACTGCCAGGGATCCAGGGGCCTCCCCACCCTCACAGGGAAATTTCCCCTCAGTGTCCCATCCAAACCTGCCCTTCTTGTATGAGACAAAGTGCTGGAATGACATCTCTCGTTTCTGTCTTTCTGCCTGTGCAGCTCCACAGGCATTGTGACAATGAATGGATGAAAAGGAGAGGGGGCATTTTGCTTTCTGAGCACCAATTTTATGGGTGGATTTTGCAGAGAATAGAAAAATGGAATTTTTTTTTTCAGTATTTGGTAAACAAGTCAGGAATATCAGTACTTCCTGCTTTTATAAAGTTCTGTTCACTTATTCAGGCCTCACATTAGAAGAGCTGAATATACTCTGAGATTAGAGGCTACTACGTGGTGTAGATCAAACTGAAAAAGAATCAGGCAAAGTACAACTGATTCAAAGTGGACTTTTTGCCCTTTATTACCTTCTGGACAAGCATGGCTGATGCCCCATCATCAAAACAGTCAAACTTCAACAAAATAATAGAAAACATGGTCCTGGTCTGCAAGATCAAAGTTCAAGTGGAAAACAAAGATATGGAGAGTCACATTTTACAGGCATAATTAGAGCAAACACTTGGAAAAATAAAGTCAGCAGAAAGTGATTTGTCAACCAGTTACAGTTTTAATAGAAAAAGTTTTAGTCCAGTCATAAGCTTAATTTGTTCAAATGAAAATGAGCAGTGGAACTGAAATCTTGAACAAGGTGATTTCATTTCAACATCAAGCTCGTTGGGTGACAAAGAGTCAGAACACACCTGGTCCACACCCACAGGTGCCAAAAACCGGGAGTGTGGTTGTTGCCAAACACCACCAGACATCAGAATTCCTGAGGCACATCTTCTGCAATGTCACAGCAGCTGCAGCCCGGGGGAGTTGAGCTGATTTTTGGCTAATTGTACACACAGGTGCCTCTGGATACAGTGTACAAGGATTCAGTGAGGACAGTGACTGAAATACCTTCCCACTCTTTGTGGACACTCCTGGACTCTCCCACCAGTGGAGAATTTTGCATACAGTGTATTATCACATCATATCTGCAGACATAGATATTTAGATTTTGGTGGTTTAAGTTTAGCACCTCTCAGGAGCATTAAATTCAACACAAAACATTCTAAAAGTTGTGTAAAGAAAATACTGATAACCGTCACAATTTTCCTGAAAAAAAAAAACACCTCACCAAAACCCAAAATAACTATGTACACCCATGCCAGTTGTAGCTTCTCAGAAAAAAAAAATGAAATGGCATGTAAAAAAAAAAAAAATAATACCTTTAAGAATAACATTGTGACCTGTTATTCATTCTGCAAGGAAAATACAGTAATAGCTGTTTACAAACAGAAAAGATAGAGAAAGAAAACATCTCTCCTTAGGGCAAATGAAGTTAAACAATTCTAGCAAACTATAGCAAAAATGGAAGTATTTGCCCTAAATTAACACAAAAGGCAAGCTGGAAGAAAGATGGCAACTGTATTTCTGTCGGCCTCTTCTCACACAGTAACTTCCAGGAAGAGCTTGGAGTACAGTACTATTATCTGGAAAAATAATAATAATAAACTCCCAGTCTTCCTACCAAATTACATCACCTCTAGAAGTGTGTTGGTCTTTTAATATACCTAATCTAAGGCTTTATGTCTAACATATTACAATTGGGAAGTTGTTTGATGAACAGAAATTTAACAAAGCAAATACTGGGCAGGGTTTCCAGGCCCTGGGGAGTCACAAGGTTGGAATTCTTTCACCTGCATTTCAGCTGACTGGAGCCAGCAGTGCTGCTTCCAGAAACTCTCCCACAGGCACCTACTCCTGTCATCTCTTGTTCTCAGTTGACTCAGTCTTTAAAAAAACCCCTATTTTTGTTTCCAAACCTTTCACTTGAAGTTCTCTCCGATTAATTCCTTTGAAACCATGCAAAAAAAAAAAAAAAAAAATCTAACAGTATTTTTTGACTTCAGGTAATTTCAACTCATATTCTGCAATTTTTTTTTTAAGTTAACAGAGCTATAAATGAGTTAAGGCACCCAAATGCCCAGAAAAAAAAAAAAAATAAATACCTTGGGCTAAATACAACAAAGTGTTCAGCAGTCATTTAATTGCACAATCATCTCCCTAATTTGTAGCACAATGCTGCCAATGTCTTTAGGGATCCTAAAATACAAATACTAGAAACTCTGTGACTGTAACGGACAAGGCATCAACAAGACATTCCCAAGGTTCATTCTGGATTCCTGGCTCCTCAATGTAACTGCTACTCCTAATTTAGCATTTAGCAGCAAGATCAGCATGTTCTAAGAATGAAATAAATATTCACACAATCAATACTAATGGTTCAAAAGCTCAAACACATTATTGAAATCAATAAATTTCCAATTCTTTCTTCTGTCAATCCAAGATTGCAGAAACGAGACCCTTGGCAACAACACTCACAGCTCTCAGGACCACAGAAGCTTCTGGAAATGAATTCTAGGCCTGAAGGTTTTGTTGTCTGTGGTGCCTGAGAGATGTTTTACTGTGTTCGGAGCTGGTAGTCTGTGAAGAGGAAAAAAAAAAACCAACAAAAACCCCAATTTTAGTAATTTGTCTCATTAAAAGAAGTAAAGTAGAGCAGCAAGTTGGGATAAAGTGATAAAATGCATTCTTATATAAATATAGATTAAATACAAGAATATGCAAACATCAATAAATACTGAGAGGTGGAAGAGCCTTCAAGTGAAGGAGGGAAGGGTTAGATGGGATATCAGGAATAAATTCTTCCCTGTGCAGGGGGTGAGGCCCTGGCCCCAGGCTGCCCAGGGAAGCTGTGGCTGCTCCATCCCTGGAAGTGCCCAAGGCCAGGCTGGATGGGGCTGGGAGCAGCCTGGGACAGTGGAAAGTGTCCCTGCCCATGGCAGAGGGTGGAATGAAATGAGTTTTAAGGTCCCTTCCCACCCGTTTTTGCTTGCTAAAAATCCAGTATTTTGTACTAAACAGTGTCTTATACATTTTAAAGCTGGCAGAATGATATGCATGAGCATACTGCTAATAATGTGTTTGTTTTTAAATTTACCAAATTCCAGCTCAATTAGAAAATGCTTGAACAGCATTACCACTCCACCCCATTGGGTCTTTCATTAAGACACCAAAAAGGGGACTAAAAGCAAACAGCTGTAACTTAATTTACTGTGTATCTAAACCAGACTGTTCCCTACTCAAAAATATGAGCTTTAATTTGTTGGTGTATTCTGGAGAAACAAAATATTCCCTTTCTCTCACCTCCATTCTGGGTGATGTACCGGACCCAGGGCAAAGCCTGGTAGCCACTCTTCTCAATTATCTTTAAGTAACGAACCTGAAAAGAAAGATCTGTAAGATATAAAGTTTCTCATGTTGGCCAAACAGCATTTAGTAAAAAAAAAAAACAAAAAAAGCAAAAATCCTGACCCTTTTATGAGTAATATGGATAAAACTGAACATCAATATGAGAAACACCTGAAATGTTAGAGCACAGGGTGGGAATTTTTCTGTATTTCTGATTTCAATCACTAACCTGAATTCCTGAAGTGGTGAAATATGGAATCTCAAACTTGACACTAATGGGAGGTTTTCCTTCCTTGTCTTCAGCTTCAACACTTGGAAGTCCAAAGTGAGCTCTCATCAGGTATTCTTTTCCACCCTACCCAAAAGGGACAGTTTTGTTTTTTTTCTTGAAACAAAAAAAAAATAAAAAACTTGCAATGATACAAGTAGTTTTCTTAGTGTCAAACTGCTGAACTCCACTATTTATTCCAGCTCTTCTCCAGGGCTTCAAAGTGACACGTGTTTTTATTTCAAAAATCCTTTTTTTTTTGAAAAAAAAAAAAAAATTCAGATCCAGCCTGAGGCATAATGCATTTTCTTCCATCATACTCAAAAATTCAGATTACATAGTGACACACAGCTGCACTATCCCACCAATAGCAGTGGACAGAGCTCATGCTCATGGAACCACCCAAGAAGCAGAGCCTGACAAAACTCAAACAGCTGCTGCTAAAGCCAGGCCAAGGATTACACCACCCAGAGACATCACTCAAAAATCTGCTCTCTACCCGGGTTCTGAAAAAAATATCAAAGTTGAAAAAAATATAAACAACATCTATCAGCAAGTTCCAATCTTTCATCCATGGAAAAAGAGAAAGAGTCCACTGCCACTTGTCTGATACCAACAGAATTTGCTTTAGGCAGAGTCTAAATGTGAATGAAATATTAGTGTTAAGTAATTATTACATTCTTGGGTGATCAGAGTAAAAAGTAACACTTACTGGAAAAGATTTAATGGACCAGACGATTTCACTGTTCTCTGGAACCCATTTGACACTTCCAACAGTGGTTTTAAACTTTGGCGAGTCTGCATCGTTTGGAACTGGGATGTGAATCTCCACATTGTTGGCAGTTGATCTACGTTTAAATTGACTCTTGGCCTAAAGAAGAACAAAAAAAAAAAATAAAGCAGAAAAGCAGGGTCTAAGTATTTTCATGGTGCTGGTGAGCTCAGAGAGCTGTGAGACACACAGCTCTCCACCCCAACCTGTTATCTTGAGTACCAGAACTGAAACCGAGATCATAACTTACAAATGAAGTCTTCAAATGTATCTAAAGTCCCATGGAAATACTGAATTCTTGTACAAAAAAAATGCATATGCTGCTCATCAAGCTTTGAAAAGAAACAAAAGAAGACTAAAGTTTGCCAAAATTATTTAAGGATGTCTGACCTTGATCATATACTCAATGCGACTGTGGGAATGTTTCTCAATCACAGATTCAATCCAGATCAGGGGTTTTACCTGGTGGGGAAAAAAAAAAAAAAACATCACAGCTCTGAGTTTTACACAGAGACACTAAAATGTTGCTTTCCCATAAGATTATACTCAATATGGAAACCACACAGAATATGCAGCCTAGGGTGTTCAAAATGACAGAATTGTGGTTTTGTACAAAATAATTACACAAAGGAGAAAGCACTGATATACCAATGATCAAATGTACAAGAATTATAGGCTTAAAAATGTGTATCTCAGCTTAATGCCTAATGACAAACACTTGCATTGGAAAATATTTGGTAGTTTAACATACTGGGGACTGAACTATTTCTTTGCTGTAGACCTTTTCAAGATTGAATTTTTTGACTTTTCTGAAACGAAGGCCATCTTTATCACCGTGGCTGGCATACTCCAGTATAACCAAGTGACATAAATACTGTTGTTAGCAAGCAAAATGAACTGCTACACTGACATTATTTAGTTAAGATTAAAAACATAGCCACAGTGTTTCAAAAAGAGTTTCAATAGCAGGTGAAAATACAGAGACTTATTGCTCAGTTAAGTCTAAACTTTCTTCTTCCTCCAGAAGAAGTGAGCACTAGGTTTTGTTATTAACAAAAACCCATGTGCTGCCCACGTTCTAAGGGGAAAAAAAAAAAAAAAAAAAAGAAGGGAAAGCTATTGTGGCTACAATCTAAACCATTGTCATTTTAAAAAGGCAAACATCCAGACTCACGTGGGTATTGAGACGATATGACATGAGCTCAAACTCTCCATCAGGTGGAATGAAAGAGATTGTCCTGTCGTTCTCAAAGCGAGAGAGACGAACACACTGGTGGAACTTCACATCTTCCAGTTCTACTGATTTACTTTTCCCACCTAGCAGAAAATACACAAAGTCACACAAACCATGGCCCAAGACTCACCATAGCACAGCTGCTGCCTGCTGACATTCCTCCCTTTTAGCCAACTTTCTATGACTGGGGCAGTGATTGTCCCCCTGTGCTGGGCACTGCTGAGGCACCTCAAATCCTGGGATCAGTTTTGGGCCCCTCACAACAAGGAAAACATTGAGTTTTTACACCCATGCAGTGTGTCCAGAGAAAGAAATTGAGCTGGGGAAGGGAGCTGGGAAAGGGGCTCAGCCTGGAGAAAAGGAGGCTCAGGGGGAACCTTCTGGCTCTGTACATCTCCCTGACAGGAGGGGGTGTCAGGCTCTGCTCCCAGGCAACACAGGACAGGAGGAAATGGCCTCAAGTTGTGCCAGCAAAGGTTTAGGTAACATTGTGGGAAAATTTCTTCACTGAAAGGATGGTCATGCACTGGCACAGGCTGCCCAGGGCACTGGTGGGGTCACCACCCTTGGAAGTGTTCACAAGGGCTGTGGATGTGACACTTGGGGACATGGGCTGGTGATCAACACGGTGGTGTTGGTCAGCAGCTGGACCTCACAACTTTACAGGACTTTTCCAACCTTTGTGATTCTCTGATTACAATGCTACCCAAGCATGTCAAAACTCACGACTCCAGATGGAATCTGTCGTGATTACCATGACACTGCAACACTCACGGCCTGTATTATCAAAGAGAACTTTGTCATTCAAGCCAAGGCGCAGCTCTGGCATTCCTGAGAGGAAGACTCTCATTTTAATGGATCCAACTATCTCACTCCGTAACACGTTTCCATTGGCACTGACCTGAACAAACAAAGATGAAGAGCAAGGTGAGACACCTGGGATGTGGTATGTTGTGACACCAACAAACACTGCCACCCTGTCCCCATGCCCTGGGTTTTCTTGGATGTGTTTCTTATGAGGCATTAACCCAGTAGAGTGAATTAGATCAGGGAGATGAAAGGGCACACACAGAGGAGGAAAGGACACATCCAAAAATCAGCAATACACACAATTCAAGCATTATTTGTAGTGAATTTCCTTGGGGGAACTTATTGATTACATTGCTTTCAGTGTCACAGCACACCCTACACAGTCAGACTTTTTATTGCAGGTTTTCACACAAAAAGTTCTTTTTAACACTTCCTACTACAATTCTCACACAAAAGCTAAAGTGCAAGGTACCCACCAAAAGGTTAACAGACTCTATGACATCCAGGAACACCTCGTTTTTCCTGTATTTTATCCCTTCTGATCTCCATGAAACAGCATTTGTAACAGTGGCAGGTGGGCGTGGGGCTCCAGTTTCAAGTTTGTGGCCTTCCTGAGTGATGTACCTTCACAACCATAAAATTGGCATTGAAAAAAAAAAAGAAAATTAATATTCTTGACAATTAGAACACACCCAAACGTTTGTTTGCCTATGGAACAAGGCTCAAAACATTCCAAGGGCTTTGTCACTCTAAGTGATGCAGTGATACTTACTCTTGTAAAATTTTACTATCAGTGGTTTGTGGATAACCAAAATCCATAAGCTCATCTAACAACTCATAAATAATAACAAAGTTATCCCTAATGCTCTCTTCTTCCAACTCCTTGAAATATTCAGAAAAAACCTGAAATGCAACAACAGGAGGGAGAAGGAGAAGAAGAACATTAACTAAGGAAGCACAGCACATGCAGAAGGTATTCTTGCATCTAAAATAAAGTTCCAACCCAAACAGCATTCTGCTCAGATCAGCCCCAGGAAACCCACCACAATCAAAACAGATACAGAGAATCCTAGAAGAAGCTATTATGAAAAAATATTTATTCTGGAGAAAGTATTTTTCACAGCAGGTACAGATGAACCAAACACAGATCTATGTGAGGCACCAGGCACATGCACCCATTCATAATCTCCTCCAGGTCTTGTGTAACTACTTAGACCACTGTGCCCCATCCTCTGCCTATATAGCTACAAAATATCAGTGCCCTTATTAGTGGTTAAGAAAATGGTTCTATAAAAATAATCAAATATAAAGTAAAAATGCCCTTATCGAAGTTCTTAAAAAACACAAAAGGTCTATGCATTTCTATTTAGACAGAAAAGAACATAAAGTTAGTTCTGAAATATACTCACCTGAACTACTTTATATAAAAATGAAAACACCAATGATACACAAGCATTTTTCTTAGAAGTTGCAACAACTGATGAAGGATGTTCAGGAATGTGCATTTAGAAGAAGTTTACTAAGAGCATTTTAAAAACCCCGATTTTAGGCAATTAGAGTTGACTAGAAGATTGAAGCATTAACTACTTAACAGCACCTATGATCTGTGGAGATATGAAGATAAGCATTCGGGAAGTCATTAATTAGATTAAAATTAATAAAAACACTTTTCTAGACCTTATGCTGCTGGTGTACATCACAGTATGTAAAGCACACAAAAACCCTTTTCGATATAACCAACATTACTGAATAGAGCCTCTACATGCCACTTCACTCGTTCTGACTTACACTTTGACATTAAAAAAAAAACCCCAAACCGTTTGGCATGTCAACATCTGTAGCATAAAGGATACGATACAGGTTGTTATGTTTAATCCACATGAAACGAACTCCTCCATGTGCTAGAATAGGAGAAAGCGTCCCCTCTTCTTCCTTTTCCATAAGGATTGGCATAAAATGTTCCACCTCTGACATGTCCACATCTCCGCGATAATTCCGACAGATCAGAACCTATCAAGAAAGCAAACAAATCCTTTTTTTCTCTTTCATTTGTTTTTCCTCTCTCATAAGGACGTTATCATGCAAGACACGAAATGCTTGAAAGGCCCCTTCAAAGTTATCCAGCTTCCCTCGAGCATCTCTGCATTTATAAGTGCGAATCACAATACCAAAATACTTTGTCGATTAGAACGCAAATACCAATATTTAATTGCAAAGTCACGTATTAGTATTTCCCAGACTTACCCTTCCCCTATTACTGCTCACGCCCTAACAATGACTTTAGGACAGGAAAAAACGCAACTCCTCTGAGACAAAGCAGCTGCGATACCGGCAGAGATTCATTGCCCTGGGCACGCCGCCTCACCCAACATCTCTACCGGTGAGGGGCTACGGGCCACAGCTCCCCTGTCCCCGCTCGGTAACGCGGGGCGGTGCCGGGAAGGGAAACGCGATCCCCCCACAGACGGCGGAACCCCCAGGTCGATGCCAGCCCCGCTGAGCCCCCAGGCCGGGCCTCACCTTCCCCTTCAGGTCCAGCACATAGACGGCGCTGGCCGACATCGCCGCGGCCGGGCCGCGTCCCGCCCGCTCCCGCTTCCGCTTCCGCGGGAAGTGACGTCATGCCGGAACCGGCGGCTGCGCGTAGCGACACGCGCGGTGCGGCGGAAGGACACAGCGAGTGGGGATCAGACGTTAAATAGTCCCCCGGGACTATTTAGGTTGAGGTGACATTGTGGGGAAATTTCTTCACTGAAAGGATGGTCATGCATTGGCACAGGCTGCCCAGGGCAGTGTCCTGATCAAAAATTTGGGAAACCAGCAGAGACCCCATGTCCTGACCTCAAATTTGGGAATAAACAGCAGGAGTGCCCCCCTGTCCCACTCAGGGACACCCAGATGCTCAAAGCCCCCTCCTGGATGTCCCCAATCCCCGGTGCCACCGTGGCCAGCAGCCAGGAGGGGACAGGAGCCACTCACCTCGAGACAAAACCTCTTCCTCCACGTTGTCATCCTCGCTGAAATCGATGTACGCCTCCAGGTGGGCGAGAGCCTGCTGGGAATTGTGGGGACACAGCTGTGCCATGGGGACATCCCCAAGCTGGTGGCCACCACAGCAGGGTTTGGTGGCCATTCAGGTGAGTCCCACCTGGATTGAGGTGTGGCTCCTGCTTGGGAATTCTGGGGACATCCTCAAGCTGGTGGCCACCACAGGTGGGTTTGGTGGCCCTGCAGGTGAGCCCCAATGGGTCTAGGTGTGTTATGGGGACACAGCAGTGACGTGGGGACATCCCCAAGCTGGTGACCCAGACACACACTGAGTACCCAGGGCTCAACGACGCCCGCGGCAGAACCCAAGTCGGGTTAAGAAAAATATTCCGATTTAAGCGGCGCTTTAGGATTTCCAACTTCAAGATACTCGTTATCCCTCAAAGGGGTAAGACTCGTAAAGGCGGGTCCGGCGCTTCCAAAACTCCACACACAAACTTTGCTCAGCGCACCGCCCCGGTTTTATACGTGTATGAGCGGCAAAAAAGGGATGAAAGCAGCGTTTTAATAAGTTACATCGAAGTTACAAGTTGCAGCTGAGCCCTCCGGAAGAGCTCAAGGTAGAAATGATACTGTTTTCCACAAAGATCGGATTCAGTGCCCAGTGCACAACGAGCAGTAATTAGACACTCAAGAGACACACTGACAATTTGTTTCAGAGTTGCACAAGCCTGGGTGCTCGGTGGGATTCCAGAAATCCACCCCATCAGGTACCAAAACTTGGACATCACTTAGAGCTTGTTGGCTGCTCTCCATTTCATGGATTAAACCTCCCTTCTTGCTGATTAGGCTTGAAAGTATACAAAGATCAAAGAATATCCTTTCGTAAAACGATTTTACATATTTCACATTTTGCAGCATGGCCTCTGACAGAACTTGATAGAAAGTAATTATACAATTCACATAACTTACAAGAGAAACTTAAATGTGAGACTCTTCAAAAAGGGAGAACTGTTAGAACCAAAGAAATAAACGAATGTTTTCCATCTGGCTCACAGCAATTCGTTTTGGCCCTAATCTCACTATAAACACTAAAAAAACCAGCCCTCTGCATTGACGTAAACCAGAGCTCCTCAGCCCAGAGGAGATATTGCTGGATATTTGGTTTTAAAAAACAAGACTATAAAATAAGACAGTATAAGGTCATAAAAGCTCAGAAGATGTAATAGACAATATGGAGAAAAGACAGATTTACATGGCAACCCTGCTTGATACAAACAAAACACAACTCCAGCTCCAGAGCCGTGAAAAGCTGCCCGGTCATTTAGTCCAGCTGACTTTGGGAATGTCGTAATGCTCAGTCAGAGTATCCAAGTGCCTGTTGAAGTCCTAGGGGAGGGAAAGAGAAAGATAAACGGGTGCTGACATCACCAAAGCTGAACCACAAGACCCCCTGCGTCCCTGCTTGTGTTTCCCAAGGTGAAACAGTTCCTTTAGCCCAGCAATAAAACACACGCTGGCCTGAGGAACTCGGGATGGTTTTGCTCACCTCCACTCGCTGCTTGTGGGTTTTGGACGCTTTCTTCAGGATCCGCTCCATTTGCTGCAGGAGACACAGAAGGACCGGTTACTCCCGGCACTCGCAGCCCCCACAGCGGCCGCACTCGAGGGGTGACCAGGGTTTCTACAACCTTACCCGCTTCTCCTGCATCTTTTCGTAGGCCACCTGCGCCGGGGTCCGCTTGTCCAACCCGCGCTTCTTCTCCTCCTCCTGCTTCTTGCTGCTCACGATCTGCTCCAGGATCTGGGCCTTGTCTTTGGCCTTCTTCTTCTTCCTGCGGGGAGCGCCCCGGTCAGCGCTCAGCGCCGGGCTGCCTATCCCCTCCTCGCCCACCGTTCTCCCGGCCTCTCCTCACCGCCTCCCGTTCTCCCCCCGTTCTCCCCCGGCTCCTCCTCACCGCTTGCCCGCCCCCAGGGCTCCCCCGCTGCCCTTCAGCCGCAGCGGTCCGCGCTGCACCGCCTCATAATCCGCCATGGCCACCGGCCGCGCCCGCGCCCCCTGCCGGCACCGCCGCAACGGCGCGGCCGGGAGCCGCCCTCGAGCCCTGCGGCGCCACCGTGAGGGAGCCGAGGCTGCAA